TTTACTCTCAGCACTAGGAAAACAGAGGCTAGTGGATCTTTGAGTTTCAGGCCAGCCTGGTGTAAATATCAAGTTCAAGGACAATCAAGCTTAGGCCCTAAAGAAAAACAAAAGGCTGGTGAAGATTTAATTAAACAAAGGGCCTATGTTCCAGCCCCATTAAGCAGCAGAATTTGGCAGCTTTGGCCACACGGTTCTGGCTTTAGAGTTAAGGATAGAAGAAATGGGTTATAGAAGTTTTCTCCCAGCCTAAGACAGTCTCCGAGGCCTGGTAAAAAGGCCATTGTGTGAAGCTGAGAAGTTGCAGCCTGGATTGCTTGGAGAACCCAAGATGTTATAGGTGCCGGAGTCATGGGATAGCTGCTGGTGAGAGTTGCTAATATGAGTGAATCCAGCCCAAGAGTAAGAAGTGTGTTGCAGTCAAAAAAGCTCAATGGAATTGGAGATGTGGAGTATTTTGACATCAAACATAAAGATGCAGAATTTGGAATTTGCCCCGCTGGTTTTTGGTCTTACTTTGGTCCCATATTTCCTCATGCTTCCTTCCCTGTGTTTTGGAATGATAATGTATATACTGAATCATTAGTGTTACGAATTATGTGATTTCTTTGGGACTTAACGACTGCGGGGAACAGGGCAGGACAGAAACCCCGACAACAGGCTACCAGTCCAGTGTTGGTGCCATCCACAATGGACCAGGTCATCCTACATCAGTTATTAATTTTTAAAAAATGTCCTACATGTCTGTGTATAGCCTGATGTCTTAGAATCATTTTCGCAGTTGGGGTTCTTTCTCTCAGATGATTTTAGCTTGACATAAAAATTAGCCATCCCACACCTAGACATACACTTTCCCAAATAGGGCTTATGAGGATGTACATTAAATTTGTTGCCTCCTTTTGGGCAACATACATCTTTGGCAAATATAGAGAGATATCCAAACCACTCTGATATACTAGAGTACAGAATACATTTCTCCAGTTTCCAGACATTCTTTGGTGAAATTTTATCTGTAGTAAGAAACAATTTTGATTAGTCAGTGGGGACGGGGGTGGGTCTCCTCTACTTGTTTAATGCATACATACTTACCAGAGGGTTTTGGCACAGAATAATGGGGTTTGTTTTATAAAGAAATAAGATCATGGCCTGAGCTTTGGAAGCAGGGCGTTGAGTTCTGATCTCAGTAGACACTAAATAAGAAACATCTTTCATATCAGATCACTTCTTTGAATATACAACCTTGGTTGATGATAAATTATTTTGGGCTCTATGATGTGAAGTTTTTCTTATGTTTTGGGTAACATGAAATGTCTCCATCCCGGTTAAGCATTTTTTTTTTCATTTTACCTCTTGCAGTAAGGAATACCAACTCTCTGAACCAAGACCAAACTGAGAAATATCATTGGGATGTTATATATTCTTGATGTTCACAAACGTGTCCATGATGTCGATGTGGCTAATAACTTCCCTCTTAATAATGAGGAAAGGAGATTCTCAGCCCCTGTTTACTAGATTCTGAAAGACAAATTCTCTCTTATGATGGTACTAATTTTAATTATCAACTAAATACAACCTAAAATAATCTGAGCAGAATCCTGAGGAGGGATGAGGGATTCTCTGGATAAGGTTGGGATTATCTAGACAAGGTTTAGGATGTCTAGATTAGGTTGGGATTCTCTAGATTAGGTTGTGATTGTCTTGATTAGGTTTGGGATTGTCAATATTAATCTTCCCTGTGGGAATGACTACCCAGGTACTGTCATTATTGTTAATTGATGAAGGAAGACCCTGATTACTGTGGGCAACACTATTCCTCAGGCAACGTTTCTGAATTATATAAGAAAAGAGAAATCCAGATGAGCAATAAGCATGAATGTGATTTTTTTCTCTATTCTTGACTACAAATGTGATATAACTGTCTGCTCTGAAGTACTGTTTTGACTTTTGGGCAATCAGGGACTGTAACCTCTAAGTTTTAGTGGAACCCTTCCTTACTATTCTGTGGCTGGCATTTTACCACCAAAGAATAAAAGAAGCTAGAACACCTCCCTGCTGCATTGCTTTGGAATCCACAATCCCTTATTCACTTCTGACTCTTTGCTGTTATTCATGAATGAATGTCATTTCCCACCCTCACTTCTCATGCAGGACTCCACAGCACAACCAGGTAGTGTTTGCTGCCTAATTAATGCCCTCAAGGAAAAGCATGCTTGACTGTAGAGCTGTTATTAAAAGTTTGAGAAGATGGAGAACTTTATGTCTAAGTGGAGACCCCATATTCCCAAATGTATAAAGTTACTATAACACAAGTCCAGTAAGCTAGATGGGTAACGGTTCAAAACTAGAATCAGAAGCTTATCATTTCTAGAATTCTAGCTTACTTGTTGCTTTAAATCATTGTGAAGCTTTGAGGAAGCTATTTCTTGTTCTGCCTTCAGTTTCTAGTAAGTATAATACTGACAGAGTTTTTTTTTTGAGGGTGAATAATATTTACTGATTCCACAAACATTGCTTGGGATTTTCTAACATGAGCACTCAGCAAAAGTTGCTAATTAGCTGAGATAATTTGGTGGGCCTCTGATCATCTCCTAATTCCAGCTAATATAGTCGGATCTTGTCTCTTCCTCTGTTCTTATTCTCATACCACAGCCTTCTGCTACATTCCTATCTTGATATTTTATTAATTTATTTAATACAGAACAATGCCATTATTACTTTTTGTGATCCCAGTTATTTATGAACTTTGGCCATTTAAATTATTATTTCAAGCAGTTTACTAAGACGTTTTCCTACAGCAGAACATATTCCTCATTAAATGACATTCTGAAGACAACTGACTATAAGTTTATATATAGAGAGACATATATATATACATATGTGCATAAGTCTGCTGTGCATATTACATGCATGCATATATAGTCAGCTGTTTCAGGAATTGTGTGCATATTTAATATCTGCAATTGATACATTTTGATGTCTCTTTAAATGTGACTTGCTAATGTTTCACCACAATTTAATTTGTGAGAGGCTGATTTTTGATCAAGGTCACCCACTCAGTGAAAATCGGGGCTCTCCCTAGGCTCTCTCTATTCCCTAAAGTCCATCACCTTCTACTGTGTCTGGCCAGTGTCCTGTGTGAGCTCATTTGATCACAATAACCAATCCAGTCAGCCGGGAACAATGGCTATCCCCTTTGCAAGTGAGGTTTTGAGAGGTTGACTTGACTATGAACATTAGAACCAGATCAGACTTCCTTTCTTTTTTTTTTTTTCAGATCAGACTTTCTGCCTTTTGTCATTTGTACAACTGTATACTGTGCTGTTTCGCCTCAAAATAGTCTGTCTTAAGATCCAGGAGAAATACAGGATGATTTGTACTAAAACATCCAACTGAAGGCTGGCTGCAGTTAGAAGAAAAATGCCCCAAGGGAATCTAGCAGGATTCCCAAGAGCATGCCAGCCGTTTAGCTCTGTGCATGGAATACAGAGTTAAGGGGCATTTGCCTCCTAGCATTTAGCCTTCCTGTTGATTCATAAGATGCAAATGAAATGGAAATTTTAAAACCGCGTGGGAAAAATTACTTATTTTCAGAGAAAAAATATAAGAGATCCAACCTCGAATGCTGTAAACGCGGGGAGAACTAGACGGAGAGATTCTGGGAGGAAAAAAAATCACACTCGAAGATGGAGTTTAATAATTTCAAGCACGATTGGAAAGGAATTCGAAGATGACTGTGTGCGCGCTTGCGTGCTCGAGGGTGTGTGTGTGTGTGTGTGTGTGTGTGTGTGTGTGTGTGCACGAAGCTTTTGCCTGCGTACTGGGACACCCCCATCTCCACCCGCAGGTAGCTGGTGCTTCCCAGCCTTTTGAAGACGGAGCTCTGTGTGACTAGTTAGCATTCTCTGCCTGAGTGTGGCTTCTCACAGGGAATGACCCGGTGATGCACGAAAGACTATTTAATGCCCTCGCGAGCTGGTTCAGGGACCAGGATTTTATTATGCTACCGGCATAAGAGTTGTAATCCCGCATTCCTGAGTTAGAGCCACTTAGGGCCCCAACAGCTCCACCCCGGTGTTTTAGAGGAAAATATTCTTTCATGCTTTCTGCCTGAACTGAAAGCGGCACGGTTTCCTGATGCGAAGCCTGGGAGGTGGTTCAAGCATTAGAAATTGCCCCAGAAGCCTGCCCATCTGCTGGGTGCCTGGCTTTCTGGAACGGACCAGGAGGAGTTGGCTTTTAACCCGAGTAACTGGGTTTTGTTTTGTAACTTAAAATCGCCGCCTAATTAAAAATAAACATGACACCTTTTTAAAAGGGACATTATGGAAATCCTTGTGGCGAAGTATAGTATGGTATAGAGTCCTAATTCTCACTGGGAGGGAAATGGGGGGAGCAGAAGTATCTTCTGACTTTTTGGTACTGGTTACTTGTCTAAATGATCTGCTTTGAGGATGTGTGCGCTGGCTGGGACTAGGGATAGAGAAGAAAGGCGAATTAGAGAAGTAAGGAAGTGGCTGTTTCCATCTTTTCCACCTCCTTAGTCCTGGTCCAAGAGGACCAAATTTGCTCTCCTCACCCCAGCGGAGCTGCCCCAACAACTCCACAGAAGCTGAAGGCGGTATCCTCACCGAGGAGAAAAATCTCTAGGAGTGAAGCCAGAGAGCTGGGCTTCCGGATGCAAGAAGATAGCTATGTGACTAGGCGGGGCGGACAGCAGATGGTCGCAGATTGGGTCTTGGGGGCGCTGAGAACCCCATGGCAAGAGCCAGTCCACGGCGAATCCAGACGGCTCTGCCGGGGTTCGCAAGCCCGCTCCCTATTGGCGGGTGAGCCCTTGGGAGGCGGAGTCAAGGCCAGCCCCGCCCACCCGAGCGCGGGAGTTGGGGGGGGGGGCAGGGGCGTCATGCTCTCCTCCCACCCGGCACCGCCAGCTCTGCTCAGTTTCCGACTCGGTCCTGCAGCGCCTCTAGGCTGCGGCTCCGCGCTCCAACCACCTGCTCCTTGCCGCCGCCGGGGAAGCAGGGCGGGAGGGAGGAGCGGGAGGAGGAGGAGGAGGAGACAAGCAGCTTACACACGCCTTCCCGTCCTCCACTCAGAGCAGCCCGAGCCCGCGGCCGCCGCCACTGCTCCAGCTGCCGCCGCTCCAGGCACTGCCGCGGCTGCCACCTGAGGAGACCCACGGTGCGAGCCCAAGGCGCTGCCCTGCCGACCCCTCCGAGGTCCCCGTGACCCGTGGACGGTCCCGACCCTCATTACTCTTCTTATCCTCTCCTTGGCAAGAAGAAAAAGTAGCAGAAGATAGCAGCCAAAAAGCACCGCGTCCACCTTGACTGACTACTGAAGCGTCGTCTCCTGGAATACGAGGGTCCCCTGTCCTGGAAGGAGCAGCCAAAGACACTGAGAGAGGGCGTGGAGGGGGAGGAAGGAGTTGCGGGTTGCGCGTGGAGGAAAGTTGCGTGTGGCTTAGACCCGACGGCGCAGCGCCACGATCCCCCAGGGACCGTGTGTCTGGAAAAACGCCGCCGTCCCTTTGAGTCGGGACCCACGAGCGAGCGGGCCCCGTGGGCCCGGGGACGACGTCCCCTTCTGCGGCGTGGACTTTGTGGGTGGCCCTCGAGGAGGAGGAGGAATATGGCACCTAAGGTGTCCCCTTCTTGCCGTCTGGTTTTCTGCCTCTTGATCTCTGCCGCGGTCCTCAGACCAGGTAAGCAATGGCCTCTGACCAAGCAGCCCGACCGTCCCGGTTGCTGTGGCCCGGGGGCGGTTCCCTGGGTGACCTGGGGACTGTGCGTCCTAGCGCGTGGTTGAGAAAGTAAGGGAGCCATAAGGCGCGCGGGGACACGGACCTGTCCCTGGAAACAGTCACTTGTGTCACACGTTTTCGGCTTGACTGGTCTGTTCAAGTTTGGACAGAGAGAGCTAGCACTGAGAAAAATCTCCAGGAACTTTGGATGAGGCTTAGCTTGAGGCTGAGGAGCCCCCAGGATTTGCTGTACTCTCCTCCCCGCAAAGTCCCTCCAGTCTCTGGGTGTCAAAGTCCACGTCACTGAACCCAGGGCAGTTTCCTTTTGCTTGGCTTGAGCTGAAATAACTGCCTGTACTTCGTCATGATAAATCCCCTAGTAACTTCCTCTTGATCACAATGGAAGACCTGAGAGGGAAGGTAGGGCCAAGGGAGGACTTTGACTGTCTAGGAAAGGAAGGGAAAATTAACACTGAAACAGCAGCTGCATTGTCTGGTTGGTGGTGAGTGTAGGGTTGATGGCAGCCGAGTCACGCAATGTGGACTGTGTGAGCAGCCGGGTTTGTGAGCCCTGTATGAGGGATTTCTTGATTTCCACACCCAGCGATAGCGCCTCAGTTCTCACCACTGAGTCCTCGAAGGGAGACAACAAAATTCCCACCAACCAGAATATCTTGCGGGGAATCCCTTTTCTCACCCTAGGGGACATCCCTAGCCCTGGCGTCCACCAGCTGGCCTGCAGGCTGACACGCCAGAGTCCTGCCCTCTCAATTGCTCCCCTAGTCCCTAGTCCAAGCGGCAGGTACTTTTCCCTGTGGAGCCCTAGATCTAACCGTTTGAAGTTTTGATTTTCCACCATTTAGGGGCTAGCTAGGGGTTAAACTACTACTCCCTGTTATTTTGCCTTCTGCCTGCTCTTCTCTCTCTCTCTCTCTCTCTCTCTCTCTCTCTCTCTCTCTCTCTCTCTCTCTCTCTCTCTCTCTCTCCTCTCTGTCTCTCTAATATTAAATCAAAGAGGAGGAAAAACAGGACTCACTTTCTTTCCGCATCTTTGCATCTTTTATTCTTGTACACCACTTCAGTGTTGGCGAGCTGAAGCCACTGAAGAGGCTTCAAAGGCTAGGAATCTTCCCCAGGAAGGAAGGGAAAGTAAGGAGGCCACAGGAGCCTGAGATCCTCGGGGATTTCGGAGCCGCTGCTGGGGGCGGAGGCGGGGGGGGGGGGGGGGGAGAGTGTGTGTGGGCTGCCTTCTCCATATCTCTATATCAAAGTTGCATTTCAGGGTGAGGTAATGAACTTACTGATTCTGAGGCTGGGAAAGACCTCAGTGACCAATCTCAGGCTCTGGGGCGGGGACCCCAAAACCTGAGTAGCCCCAGATTTAAGACAGGTAGGGCAGAGTGAAAACATTCAGCAGATGAGCGCCTGGCCTCTCTTATCTTGCACAATGTAGTCTCACTTTTGGGGGCTATCCCAGTGTAGGATGGGGGGAGGGCACCTTGGAACCCAGGATAGAGTCAAGTAGGGAGCTTGGGGGCCAGTTTGTGAAATGTGACCATCCACACGCCTATCTCCGCTCTTGGCTTTAAACCCCTCACTCCAGGTTCCGAGACTGCCACTTACACTCCCACCCCCGGACTGCAACACTCAGCCGTTAACCTTTCATGCGGTCGCGCTGGAATTTATTTTCAGTTGGTCCCGTCGAAAAACAGGTTTTTCTTCACTCGGAACTGCCAAGAGGGGAGAGGTTCCGCTTTCAGACCTGATGGCCTTTCTTTCTGCACCGCAGGCTCCAGTCCAAGTCACCAGCTGTGCGCTTTCCCGCAGGAGCGCGCCTGCTGATCCAGGATCGCAAGCCACAAACCCTTAAATTCTTTTTCCCCCAGAATGATAGCGCTGACATTTTGCAAACTTCTCCATGGAATGTCTGTGTGCTTTCAATGGAGAGATTATGGTTCGAAGGCACAGGGTCTCCCCTAAGTGAGTCCTGGACTGGAAGAGCGCCTCCTTCAGTGTCCTCTGCAGAGAGAAGTCTTGGGAGTGAGGTACTGCCTAGCTTCATCCTTGGGACTCATATTCCTGGCCACCTCATTTCTGGAGCTGTTATAACAGTATGTGTCAGGTGCCAGGGGACAGACGCTGCTCCTCCAGGTCTTTTGACTTGTGGCTACCGCAGTTGTCACCCATATGGTTTAGGCCTCTTGTACAATCTGTTTTGAAGGTAGAGGGAGGCAAGACTTCCACCAACAAAATTTGAATATGATAAAGGCATTGAAGTGTGTGCTCAGCATCCTAGGTAGCCAAAATCTCATTATTCTTGCAGAAAGAGCGTCAGCCTGTGGTGACATTTTGTACTGCTTTAAGGAAAGCTTTCCCTGGTTGTTTGCAAGGAGGTGTGGCATGGCAGTTAACTGTTTCTTCTCTCCAGTCAGCTGAGCACAACCCTCCCTGGGATTTTTTTTTCATTTCTCAGGATACAAGGCTCATTGTAAGAATTAAGGACACAAAAAGCTGTTCTCGATGGGGTACCACGTTTACCAGTTTATTTCATCAGGTCTTGGGGGGGGGCAGCCATTGAAATCACCTCCTTTCAGAACATTCACACGAAATTATTAAAATGTATCAATTTTACAACCACACACTCCTTTATAAGCACTATATGCTGTTGTTTATGTGATTTATTTAATCAAATAGCAATTTACAACGTAATGGAGTACTGCTTGCAACAGATTGCTTTTCTAGGCCTGGCTCAAAACCTAGATCTCCATTCGGGCACTCAAACATGACAAAAAACATTTTGGGGTGTCAGCTTTCTTATATGTAAGGTTAAAATGGGGGACATAGAATCTGTTCCTTGAGATTTCCTTCAGTTCAGACACTGTTTCTTGAATTGAGGTAAAAACATTTGAACTGACAGAATCATTTTCCAATAATGTGTTTATTATATTTTCATTCTGGGCAAACTTCATATGAATTGTATTGCTAGAAAGGTTTCAGTGTGTATCCCAATTACTAACTTTCTCCCTCTATAAATTCATGAGAATGTGTTGCTCTTATTCTTCCAGGACCAATTAGGACAATCAAAACAAAATGAGATGTGTGTGGGGGTGGTGGTGGTGGTGCTGGTGGTGGTTCTTCTCATTCAGTCAGGAGAACGAGAAAGATTTTAGACCATGGGAAACCTGGTGGAATAGCAATCTGCCTCACTCTTAACTGCATGTGTAGTTCTGGAATTAGGCATAAGCCAACTGGCACTAAAATGCTCGTGTAACAGAACGTGTTCTTCTAACCCTAATGGTGCTCATATGATATAGGGAATAGAACACACCAAAATTTTCATGTCATTTTAAGCTATAGAAACCCGAGCTATTTTGCATTGCTAATTCCCAACTTTTCTGACATTTTAGGATATTTGAGCTCACTTTTTTTGTGATAGACATTCACATGTGAATGTATGTATATCATTGACTTGTGAAGGAAGCAGTCAACAAGAGGCTTCTCAGTAGTCTTAAGCACTATTTTTATTGAAGCTGCTATTCAGAGAACAATTTCTTACCTCTTGCTTCCAATAATGCAGTGACCTTGAGATCTACTGCTCTGCCCCCTTTTTTTCCCATCCACAAATTTTTCCTTTTATATAATCCATGGTTCTGATTATAATGAGATTAATCCTTCCACAGAAATTCATTTTGGAAAATTTTAGCAGTAACAGGTGATAGATTAAAACTTTAATATATTGTTCACAAAATATTTTTGATTTAGTTCACTTAGTTATCACTTTATTGTTTTATTAAAAGAGACCGAAATGCTTCTTTTCTCCTTCATCTTTGCTCCCTTCTCATGTCCCCAATTCTCCTGCTATTAAATTTAGATCTCACTGAAACTGAGTGCTGAGTTGCAAGCATGTTTTCATGTGAAATCGCAGTATTTTAAGATAGCATTTTGAATGCTTTGTGATCATCACACCTTCTAGTCCAGACATACCTCTTCTGTTCTGACCATTTGTTTAGCATCAAATATCAAAGAGCCCTATAACGCAAGTAGACACAGCCCATTTGAATCCAAGAATATAGAGGGGAGCCTGAGTGCATCTATACCTTTGTACGGACAAATAGAATCAGTCCCTTGAAAGTGTTAATTTTGTTCTCCCTTGTCAAGTTGTCACACAGCTCCACGCCACTGCGGGAACAAGACTTTTGTGACGCACAAAGAATTACATCATTCACTGAAATAACAAAACCTACCAAGAATATTTTCTTGGGAGTGGTGATGTTTGTTGATTATTGCTTTCAAATTACAGCTCATTTTATTTTCAATGAGAACTAAAAGGAATGAAACTGTGTTCATTTCTACTTTTATTTACTTTCTTTTTGAGGAGAATTTTTCTTTCCCTATGGAGAACAAAGTGAAATTTGAATGCATATATATGTATACATTCTGTGCTCAAGAAGAGGCTGTTGCATGCTATATACAAAGCTGTAGTCTACAGTTATTCAAGTATTCTTACTATATGTAAAGTGCTACATATTTCTAGAGTTATAAATATTTTCATTTAACTAATTATGTAAATGACAAATCTCACCTTTTTTACTTTTTGTTGTTCACTAGAGTAGTATACATTTTAGAAAGAACTAGTTTAAAAATGCTGTGATATTTAGTCATGGTTTTATGGTAACTTATTATCATTGTCCATTTTTGTAGTGTATGTTCCAAGAATGAAATTAGCTTTTAATGATTCTTCTTATTTATCTAGTCAGTTCTCAATTACCCATTGCATCGATGGGAAAATCAGAGTTGCAGGCAGTGCATACCAGTTCTAATTAAAGGATTATTTAATGTGACTTTAAGTTGAGTTAGTAACTTAATGAACATACCTGTATCTTGTCTTCTAAGGGTTGATTGTATTTAAAAATAATGAAATCAAACCACATGAAGAATAGATGGTTCCGAAATTGAGTGTC